ACACCACTTCAATGGAAGGAACAGGAAAAAAAAACAAACCATCAATTGTACACAGGATTCCTTCAGGCACTTGGTATGGAGAGAATTATGAGGACAGATAAAACATGAGGATAATATACTTTGAGAGGAAGATAGTTCCTACTAAAAGCAAATATGAGAAACTCCTGAAATGTGATGAAAGCTCTGACAAGAAGCTCCCTTTGGTCACTGCAAGGTCTTTGAAAACTTCTTGTGATGAACAAATGTGACAGAGATGGGGACTTGTGAATCAACGTGGTGGTTTTCTGGGATTGAGTCAGATCCTTTTCTCATGATTGATTAAATTCTCTAGTGGTACTGTGGACAAGATGATGTTGGATGCCATAGGTGTCTGTCCTTTCCCAGGCCCAGTTTTGTGGAGGTTGATGGAGAGGAGAACGTTGTGGGCATAGCTTGAAGATGTCACATGCCAGAGATGGTGTTGAAGAGGAAGAAGGCTGCTGGACACTAATAGTTAGAACCAGCAACGCATGTGGGTAGTTCCTCAAAGCACTGGCATTGCAGGAATATAAGCCCAACATAGGTCTGATCCAGTGTTGTTGGGTGTTCTTCCAAGGATCCTGACCCACAGCTGGCAGAGACCTTCCTCACATCCACTCAGCCCTATGTTGAGTCAAGTCTGTGCTCCGAACTGTGTGCAGAGCACTGATTGCTTGGGAAGCTGGTCACCAGTCACCGGCACTGAGCATATTTCTACTCTAAACAGCCTACCCAGTTTTTAGGCTAGATGACGCTATGATGTTTCACAGCCTAGGCTGTCCTTACACCCATTCGGACCTGAGTGGGAAGAGGATATCTATCAGTTGTAGAAACCAATAAGATAAAGTAGGGTAGCATGTTCTACCCACATTTCACATTGGCTCAACAGAAGGACAAGAATCCCTTTTCAATACCTGTTATTTTGGGGTATTGAGATTTCCCCAGTGATGTCTCATGTGAATAGTTGCCAGGTGAGCTTACTCTGAGAAGTACTGAGTGGGAATTACCTCTGTCACTATTTTTGTGATGTCACTCCTTTATGATGAATGTTTTTATGTCTCATGAGCTAAGAAAGGTTTCCCTATATACATGTATTTATATTTGTATGCTTAATACAAGTGTACATGTGTGTATAAATATGCACACACACACACTAAGATTGTTTATCCATGGAGTAGAATATTAAAATAGTGTAACTTGATATTGAAAAATAACTCTATTAATACAGTGACAAAGTCCTTCCTTTTTCTTCATTAAAAAATTTTTTTTACATTTATTTATTTCTGAGAGACAGTGAGAGATAGAGCATAAGTGGAGGAGGGGCAGAGAGAGAAGGAGACGCAGAATCCGAAGCAGGCTCAAGGCTCCAAGCTGTCAGCACAGAGCCCAACGCGGGGCTCGAACCCACAAACCACGAGGTTATGACCTGAGCTGAATTCGGACACTCAACTGACTGAGCCACCCACGAGCCACCAAAGCCCTTCCTTTTAAAGATTATTCTATACGATATATTGCTTTGTTGCTTGTTTGATTGGTTATGACTGCATGGTTGTTGTCTTTTGCTTCTTTTTCCTATTTTTATCGTCTTCTTGTAGGTATAGTTCTAGGAAAATTTCAATGGACTATCTTCAGGCAAATTTTAGCTGCCAGGAACATATTGTTTACTTACGTTTAGAATTCTAATGAAGATATTGTGGTTTGGATTTACCACGTTTGTTTTTTCCAGACACCTTACCTATTTTTTATTTGTTTCCTGTGTTTCCCTGTATTCAGATTCAGAAAATAGTTCTAAATTTCATTCTATTTCTCTGGACATTGTATACTCAGTAACATATTACTTTAGGTAGAAATTAAAACATACTTTTTTTTTTTGAAGAATGCTTTTAAAATCTAGTCACTGTGTGACATTACTTTCTACATTTAATTTCAATTTGTTACTATATGTACACCGATACTTATCTATTGACTACTATTTTTTGATGAGTTTTTTCTTTTTAAGTGAAGTCACATGTACAGATCATAAGGGAACACTTCAGTAGAATTTCACAAACTGATCACATCTCTATGATCCACTGAGAACAAGAAACATAAATGTTAGTCCTCTATAATTATTTTTCATGGTTAGTGGGTTTTTTTAATATGTTTTAGAAATCTTCTCTAATATTGAAACCACAGGCACAAATCTTTTTCTTTTTCCAAACATATCATTATCTTTACGATTCCAATCAGAAATGTATTAAAAATACCTGTGTTGTGTGGTTTGCGTACAGACATAGATTTCTATTCTTTGTCTTTCCCCAACATGGCTACAAATTTCAATGTATTCTGAAAATGTTTGAGCATGCTTTCTCTTCATTGGCTTGAACAAATCATTTCTTCACATGGACTAACCTCATTGTTATCTTGGAACAGACTTCTGTCAGTTCTCTGTCTTTTTCTGCCTCTAGTGATGTTGAGAAATCTCACAAGACTACACCCTCAATGTCAGTTTTGAGGTCAAAAACGTTCTATCTGGAGCCCCTTCTCTCCCCTGCCCCTCAGCATAAACACAGAGCCAC